ACAATTTAACAGAGAGATCTTTAATTATTCCTTGTTGAAGGTTCACTCGATTATCTAGAATTTTCTTTGCTAAAAATCATTTTTTTTTTGCAATACTCCAGTTACTTATTTCGTAAAGTATTTCCGTGCCAAATTTCGTGAAATTGTAATGAGTGGTTCTCAAGAAATAGGCATATTTCTGAGAAAGCAATGTTCCATTTAATCGCAATTTTGTCATGCTACGCATGCGCTGCATTTAACTGGGTTCTTTCGGTACGACGAAAAAGCTGAGAATTGCTGGGTTCTTTTCACCGTTAACTTTTCTAACATGTCTTTGTAATAAAAGATTAAATCCCTCAATACAGAACGCTAACTATAGAGAAAAATAGCACAGATAGTGCGGATACGTGTTGAGTAAATAAAACGACCACTTTATTGACAAAATGTTTGTTTTTTTTGCAATCCTTGTGCGCGCGCTTAATTGCATCAGCAAAACCGCGCGCGAAAACTGTGTTCGGCCACCTTTGGAGGATTTTGGAAGAGGGGTAGGCGGCAGGGGCATAAATTCCAGAACGGGACGTCCTGAACATAGAAACGAAACCAAACGTACCTTGGTAGCCTGCAGTTCTGTGCTTATTCCGAGTGAATCAGCTGTCATTTTAGCTACAGTCGATTTTAAAGCCATAATCTCTTGCTTGGAAATGTGAAGATCATTTTCTAGACCGTCTTTCTCCCGCTGTAGGCATTTCTTGGCATTTTTCTCCACTTCTATCTCAAACTCGTGCTTCAGTTGAAGAGACCTTACCTCTTCGTCAGCACTCGTTAGCTTTATCTGAAGATCCTGTATCTTGGCTGAGGCCTGAAAATTCATGGCATTAATTCAGGATTTGAGTACTGTACTAACTTTAAAATACCTCCTTCTCTTCCTCCACGGAGCCTCTGTGCAAAACTTCACGTTTCTAATTAAATCCAACCCCTTTCTTTAATACCCTTCCCTATCCTTAGACAAAAATTGTAGAGCAATGGTTATTCGTTTGGGCTAGGTAGTCAAGAATTTCAGTAAAAGGCAATTCCTGTATGTTTCTGTTACAACCAAAGAAATGCATACTGTATGTGGTACTGAAAATTCTAGCCAATAACTCAAAAGGGAAAAAAAAATGGACATTTTGTTAGCCTTTGTTAAGTTTTCAATTACAAGGACCCCTCTTTGAAAAAATATCCGTTCTCTGATAAGTGCCCAAGTGCTCAGTCTAAAGATTCAGCACCCCCTCCCCTCCCCCCCCTCTCTGGAGCAGCCCATTTACAGTCATTGCCTTAAAATGAGTGAGTAAAGAACTATTCATGTCAAGCTGTGAGAAAAAACAGTCCTTGCAAGTGCCTAAGTTTAAAGTTAAGACTTATGGAAGCAGGTCATTTAGCTATGTCGCGCCGTACCTGTGGAACAAGCTCCCAGATACCATATGACAGGCAGGATCACTTGCGACATTAAGTCAAAGGTTTAAGACCTATCTTTTTAGTCAAGCTTTCAATTTGTAGGACTATTAAATAATATTAATTCATTTGTTCCTATTATTCCCTGGTTAATTTAGTTAATTATTTATAATAATTTTAAATGTACATATTGTAAAGTGCTCCGAACTCTAGGGTGAGTGCTATAGAAATCCTATATTATTATCATAATTATCATTATTATCTCTTTTATCACAGTCTTTGCCGGTGTTCTTTTTGTGCATCAGCCGGGCGCAAACCATGCACCAAGAGCGTCAGTCACTAAGTCAATCATTCTGTTCATACACTGAGCACCTTTCTAAGGATTCGTGCCGATCCCAGCATGCAGATCTTTTGAATCTCTGTCATAGTAACTCTCTCTGATACTTTCTTGATGTTTTCTACCATACCCTTCACTGTACCAAGTGCACCAAAAACCACAGGGATCACTACAGTTTTCATATGCCACATTCCCTATATTTCTAGTTCTAGGTCTTTGTACTTGCTTTTTTTTTTCAGTTTCCTTCAGTGCAATGTTTCTANGCCCTATTGTTACTGTTTTGAATGCTGTTTCCACATCAATCAGGTCCCTACCTCCATCTTTTCTTGGGATGTACAGCCTTTCCACATCTGCTTTAGGATGTAACATCTTGTGCATGTTCAATAGTTTACGTGTTTTGGTGTCAATCTTCTTCAGTTCTGAGATTTTCCAGTCAATGATGCCAAAGCTATATTGTACAACTGGGACTGCAAGACTATTGATAGCTTCTTTTTTGTTTCTTCTATTGAGCTCAGTTCTTAGGATAATCTTGCTCTCCTATTATATTATTATTATTATTATTATTATTATTATTATTATTATTATTATTATTAGGTGTGTGAGAGTGTAAGAAGGGTTTTACCAGATGGCATCTTAGTAGACTAACAAAAAATAAGAAAGTGAGAAATCAGGCGTTGGCAAGAAAGAAACAAAAGGAGACGAAAGAGGCAAGAAATGACGGGAAGATGGAAGATAATGAAGCATGCAAGCAAACAAGAATAGATGTGGTGAACTGAAGCCAATAAGTAAGAAAGCCATGGCCTTGAAAGGCACCATGAATGGTACAGAAGAGGGGATAGAGGGAGGGAGAGAAAGAAATAAATGATCTCACCTCTTCAGTTTGTTGGTGTTTAACTTGCACAGTACCCTCTAGATGTTTGTTTAAAGATTCCAGAAAACCTATCCTATCCTGATTATCCCCAATTGTCTTTGTCATGTTTTCCATGAAGGATTTGGATTTGGCCATCAACCCTTCCATATCTTCCAGTCTTCCTTTGTAGTCCCATGCAGCCCTTTTCTTTCCTGAAAAAGAAAATTAAATACAAAAAATAAAGAAAGAAAAAGAAACAGAAAAAAAAAAAAAAACCGAAAGAAGGAAAAAGGTAAAAAAATGATTTGGGTATTTGCATTAAAATTATCTTATTGCATATTGAGTAATTAAATTCACAGGTGACCTTGCAATCTGACAAGCTTTCAGCAATGTAATTTATTTAAGAATTGCTCTATTTTTTTTTTTTTGGCTCCAAATAGGCCTTTTGCAGTTAGAGATCGCGTGCTTAGATACCTCATAGCAACACCATACTGGAGAGCAAGCACTCCATGATCTCAGACAAAATAGAGATCACAGAGGTTTGCATTCAAACAAAGAATACAGCGGATAACAAGTTAAAGGGTATCCCAATTCAAGAAATCTTGTAAGTATTAATCAACAGCTTCCTTGGAGTGTATCAGCGAAAAACGAATTTTGGTGTGCTTTTGCTGCTAATACACTCTGGGGAAGCTGTTGATTACTTCTTACTGGATTTCTCGAATTGGGATACCTTTAGACCTGTTATCCGCTGTATTCTTTGTTTGAATGCAGACCTCTGTGACCTCTATATTGTCCGAGATCACTGGAGTGCTTGCTCTCCAGTATGGCGTTGCTGTGCGGTATCTATGCACGTGATCTCTAGCTGCAAAAGGCCTATTGCATCTTTTCCCCAGCCAATTAGAAAGCAAAACAAAACAAAAAAACCAATCAGATTTAAAGGCATGTTGAAAGTAGCCTGACTGTGAAATCACAAAATATGCGAGAAAAGAAAACTGAGTAAAAGAATTTCAGACAAACTTCTTGAGAAAAATATGATTATATTTATTTCTTTAATTTTCACAATTTGTGCAAAGGCTCATAAAAAAATATATATATATTCTTGGACAGAGTTTGGCAGGTTTTTTTTTCCTGGGAGGTTTGCTACATGTACGATGTAATTTTTTATTAATAGACACCCTTTGGTTGGCCCAGTTCTTTTCCTGATGCACATCCTAGAGAACATCACTTGTTTCTTTGGTTTACTAACCTTTAGCTCCCAACAAAGAATCTAAGGCAGGACCCTTTGAACTGGCACTTTTATTTACATTTGCAGGTGGTTTAGAGGTAGCAGCTGCTGTAGCTATTGTTTGTCTCTTGGTAACAGCAGAAAGATTCCCAGCTGCTGCTCGTGCCTGAGTGGAAGTTCCTCGTTTTACAGTGTTTGCTGAGGTTTGTCTCCTTAAAGTTGACGAAACTGCAGATTTTGTTGTTACTGTTTTGTCCTGTGGCGCAGACTTTAAAGAGGTTTGAGATGAAGATTTTTTCATCTTTGGTGCTAACTGTAATCAAATGATAAATTTTACAAAGAAGGACTTGGAGCAAAATTGCACACAAATGCCACTTAATTGCAATTATATGTTTTTTTTTTTTGCTATGAATCATTGTCTAGAGAAACTCAGTTTGGCAACTTAGCTATTCCACATGAGACATGAAAATTTGACAGATTTTCAAATTCAAAATATGAGAGCCAAACTTACTTTTAATGAAAAATTCTACATAGTTCTATAAGAATCCAAATCTAGATTGGCCTGCATTTGCTCACCCCTTGCTGGCCACAAATTACTTTCTGGTAGTTTCTGGTGTTCATTGCCTGGTCTTGAGCTGCTACAAGTAGTCCCTCTGTTTCTCCTTTCAAATTACTTGACAACCATTTGTTGGTGGTGACTGTGTCAACATGAGGCTTCTCAAGGATCTTTAGATACTGGCCATGCAATGCTTTGTTTTTCCACTTTTCTTCTTTCATTGACTTCATCTTGGACTTAAACACATGTTTCAGGGCTTTTAGCCTTTTCAGAGGCAGATTTATCTTCTCTGTTCTCAATCTCTGGCATTGTTACTTCCCTTTTGAATTTAGTGGTATTCTTGGATATTGAATTTTTGGCTTAAGATCTTCCATGTTCAAGCACCTGCTTTGGATATTGCCCTTCTTTGTGCTCCAGATAGTGATCAAGCCCTATTGTTACTGTTTTGAATGCTGTTTCCACATCAATCAGGTCCCTACCTCCATCTTTTCTTGGGATGTACAGCCTTTCCACTTCTGCTTTAGGATGTAACATCTTGTGCATGTTCAATAGTTTACGTGTTTTGGTGTCAATCTTCTTCAGTTCTGAGATTTTCCAGTCAATGATGCCAAAGCTATATTGTACAACTGGGACTGCAAGACTATTGATAGCTTCTTTTTTGTTTCTTCTATTGAGCTCAGTTCTTAGGATAATCTTGCTCTCCTATTATATTATTATTATTATTATTATTATTATTATTATTATTATTATTATTATTATTAGGTGTGTGAGAGTGTAAGAAGGGTTTTACCAGATGGCATCTTAGTAGACTAACAAAAAATAAGAAAGTGAGAAATCAGGCGTTGGCAAGAAAGAAACAAAAGGAGACGAAAGAGGCAAGAAATGACGGGAAGATGGAAGATAATGAAGCATGCAAGCAAACAAGAATAGATGTGGTGAACTGAAGCCAATAAGTAAGAAAGCCATGGCCTTGAAAGGCACCATGAATGGTAGAGAAGAGGGGATAGAGGGAGGGAGAGAAAGAAATAAATGATCTCACCTCTTCAGTTTGTTGGTGTTTAACTTGCACAGTACCCTCTAGCTGTTTGTTTAAAGATTCCAGAAAACCTATCCTATCCTGATTATCCCCAATTGTCTTTGTCATGTTTTCCATGAAGGATTTGGATTTGGCCATCAACCCTTCCATATCTTCCAGTCTTCCTTTGTAGTCCCATGCAGCCCTTTTCTTTCCTGAAAAAGAAAATTAAATACAAAAAATAAAGAAAGAAAAAGAAA